AATTTATATTTCCAGAATGATTTTTACGCTTTAGAAGAATGATCAGTAATTTACCTACATATTTCACATTTTTTAGTTAATTAATAAATTTTTGCTAAGAAAAGCAAGAAGGAAACTTAAGCATTCAATAACTGAAAATGAAAAGAAAATTAATGCTCTGCATAACAATTAATAGAATTTTAAACTTATGCAGTTAACCATTAAAGGTCATTATTTTGTTAACCTCTTTTATAAAGATATATTGGAGTTTTTCTTGAAAAATATAGCCTAAAAAATATCAGAAAAACAAACTGAAAGAAAATTATTTTACGATTTAATAATTAATTAAACAATTTTAATGTAGGAACCTCATGCAGTTACTCATCCTTCATTTTCTAATTTTTTTAGACTATAATTTTTTTGAAAAACTACCAATACAGCTTTATAAAAGAGATAAATACAATAATGATCTTTAATATTTAACTACATAAGTTTAAAATTCCTTTAACTGTTATAACTGTTAAAGGAATTAACTGTTTAACTGTTCGTGGTGTAGTGGTAGTGGTCATAACATGAAGTTTCTACTAATTTTCAGTTTTCGGATGCTTAAATTTTCTTCTTAGCTTTTAGCAAAATTCTATTAGTTTTCTCAAAAATCTAACATATATAGATAAAAATATTCCTCGCTCCTTCTAGAGCTTACAAATCATTATAAATATACATTTATAACTTTTAAAGCCTGAAAAATGTATGTCTGTCATGTTATCTTCATGCGGTGATTTATACACTGACTACCAATAAGTATTTGGACACCTGTGATAGAAAAGAAAAACTAACTTTATTCAAAATCAATAGTTGGTAGAGCCTTTACGAGAGGTAAATACAGCGTGGACCCTCCGGGGCATACTTTCCACAAGTCTTTGTATGACAGCTAGTGAGTGGTATTGTCTTCCACTCGGCTTGGAGAAGACATAGAAGTTCCTTCACCGATTTTGCACGGGTAGTGCACCCCTGAATTCGGCGATGCAACTCGTCCCAGAGGTTCTCGATAGGGTTCTGGACTCTGGGCAAGGAATTTTAAATCTGGACTCTGGGCAGGCCAGCCCATTCGATGAACTCCATTGGCACCATACCAAGCCTTGGTTAACGTCGAAACATGACAACTGGCATTGTCGTCCTGAAAGTAACAGGGGTCCAACCCGTAAAACTGCCGAAGCACATTGTCATCCAAAATAGTGCAGTAGGCATCGGAGTTGAGCTTACCATAAATGGGCACCAAGGGTCCCAGCCCATACCAGGAGAAGCACCCCCAGACTATAATTCCACCCCTGCCGAACTTGACTGTTGCCACAATGCATTCTGGCAGGAGACGTTCTCCAGGTAGAAGCCAGACCCAGACCCTGCCATCCGAACGGTAAAGGGTGAACCTTGATTCGTCACTCCAAAGAACCCGTTTCCACTGATCTATGGTCCAATTTCGATGTGCTTTGCACCACATTAACCGAGCCGACTCGGGGCACATTCCGACAATCACCGCTCACCTTCCACTTCTTAATCACATAGGCCAATGTCGATTTTGGGTACTTCAGATCGCTAGATATGTCCCTTAAGGATCGGCCACATTTGTGATACCCGATAATTATACCTTTCTCGAAATCAGAGAGCTCCGAACTGCGAGGCATCTTGCATGCGACTAAAGCAGATGCTGTTTCCTACACGATATATACCGACGGAGTCCGTGACGTACCTTAGGACCGCAGATATCGTCACTTGCATAGGTGTCCAAATACATATTGGTAGTCAGTGTAGGTGCTTTATTTTTAGCACGATATTTTCTACGGCGATGTTTTTGAACCGTTTTATTTTCGACAAAGATTCTTTACACTGCGATATTTTAGAGCTACGATGCAATCTCCTTGCTCTCTTTTCTCCCACGATGTTTTGTACGACGATGTTTTCGCCTTGCATTGTTTTTTTTCTCGATGTTTCTGCCGGTTTTCGGTGGACATCCACAAAAATATTACTCACGATTTACTCATATTTTTATGCACTTTTATTTGAAGAACATGTTTATCTTACTTTCAACAGGCATTCAAGAGAACACACAGAAAACAGAACGAATACTTTTGTTTATACTATATTCCGATGGAAGTCAATAAGAAATAAAAGCGTTATATCTGTACACTGAGTATATTTGCACATTTAGTATATTTTTACGTTTTAGTAATTTATTCTGACGGATGATTCAACAATTTTTATATTTTCCGAATTAAGGGGTATTTCGGATATAATATAGAATTCCTAAATATTGTGAGAACATCTGCTATTACAGCTGTAGTCCCATGGATTTTTTCATCTCTTTTTTATTTTCAGTGGAAATTGTGTCTTATTCTGATTCTTTTACAGTGATTATTCCATCGTTTCGTCGCAAAGAAACCTAACATTTTTAAACAAGTTCCGGTTAATCAACAACCCGGTTAATTCATCCTTGTTAATAGCGACTTGACTATAGTTGGTTCTGTAGATTGGGTGCACATTGATGTTATTGTTGTTGTCTTGTCCAGAGCCTACTCCAAAGAGAGGTTGAATTTCTTCTTTTTCTATCCAATTTTGAGGGAGAGCACCCGGGGGGATAATGAATCTTCCACCCCTCTCCCCCTTCCACAAATCCACACGAGAGGACTTTTGGCTCGGCGCATATTTAGAGTGCCGCCATTCCTCATCGACACTATTGATTACTCATCGACACTATTACTATACACTTACAAACGGCCATGTTATAAGGTATTTCTCCCGATTTCCAAGCGTCCTTCGTGGTGTAGTGGTTCTGCACGCTGGGCCGGTATTCCAGAGGTCCGTGGTTCGATTCCCGGAGAAGGCGTTTGCTAATTTTTCAATTCTCCTGGTTCCAAACAATACCTAATGTCTCTACAATGTCTTCTCCGTGATTCGAACCCAGGCCCTTTGGTACCGTAGTAGGCTTCCCTAGCCACTATACCTTCTGAGTTACTATGTTACTGGTTATTTATATTATATGAAAAATATTACTAATTTCTTAGTTTAAATGTCAGGTTACTCATAAATCACATTAAATAATACAGCATAAACGTTTATCATTATTAAATTTAATTTTTAAAGTAGTCTTTGGATAAAAAATGAAAATATTAAACAAATCAGTTTATACATATATAATACTAATAAGTGCTTAAATTAACTTAAAAACTTCTTTAATATTATTTTTTATTAAATAATACACATAAAAGAATTTATTTTTAGTCACCAATGACCAAGAATGTTATGACAGCTAAAAAACATCATTTTTTACCATATAATTCTTTTCATTGAAACTATGTTTCTTTGCAGATATTTTGTTTAACTCGTATTAAGGATTCCATGAAATTAGTTTATGCTCTTTTTAACTACTGTATTTACCCGCGTATACGTCGATACCGCGTATAAGTCGACCCCCCCGCCCACTTCGACATAAAAAATTCGTAGAAAATAAGAAACCCGCGTATAAGTCGACCCCCCTCTTCCGAAATCGATCGAGAAACTTCGAAAAAAATTTTTTAAATACTACATTTATTCAAAATCATCTGAGGGAAAAAAAAAAGTAAATATACGATAAAAAATACCTTGGTAAATAAACAAAATCAAAATCCTTCAACGTCTGATTCATGGTCAGATTCGTCAAACATTTCATAGAACTCTTTTGTCGTCATTGGCTCGTCATCATACATATTTTCAGTCTCGAACTCTGTATCGTTACAATCACTACTAGAGCCTTCGTCGTCATTTTCACTTTCAAAAGCAGCATTATCATCTGTGCCGTTTAGTTCGTTGCTAATACATTTTTTAAATGATTTTGATAATCATTTCAGAGGATATTTCGTTTCCAAGCATCTTTAACCCACTGAGCAAATTAATGTAATATTCGGGCTTTTTAATGTTGCCTCCCTTTGTAAATGTTGGTCGACCGGAACTAATCCACTCTGCCCAATATTTTCTAACATTTACTTTGAAGGGCTTTATTGAGGCAGACATCTAGGGATTGAATGACGGATGTCAATCCTCCCGGAAATTACGGCCACAGTCATTTTTAGGTGTTTAGTCAACTTTTGTCACTTCTTCAGAAAAGTGTCCATGAAAAGAATCGTATGCTAATCGTAGAAGGTTTTTTGAAAGCTCTGTGATTAGTTCGTCACATAATTTAAGTCATGAAATTACTTCAAGTAAGTGACTTATTTGATAAGTCGTCCAATTTGAGTGCGGGAAGAAAACAACAACTGCATTATATAAAGAAATTTTTGAACTTCCGATTCTTTTAATTTTTTATGGCCCCGTGTATAAGTCGACCCCCCACTTTGAAGTCTTTTTTTTGTCCAAAATATCTCGACTTATACGCGGGTATATACGGTAAATAATGGGTCTGAAAGGAAAAGGACGCAAGAACGAGTGATAGCTATATCAAAAATGAATATCATATACTCTTATCAGCAGGAGTCACAACGCTTATTGTAATGAGAGGTTAACCTCAGTAGACAGTAATAAAGATATGAATAAACTAAAAACAACTTAACAAAACCATGTACTTTCTTTTACAATTCGCATAATCTTCGTCAGTGACTTTAAAATCTAAAAGAATTACGATTTATGTGAAAAAAAAATGTTATAATATGCTTCATAAAAAACTAAAAAATTTTTGCAAAATAAAAATTGCTATAATATGCTTCATAAAAAACTAAAAAATTTTTGCTTTTAAAAATTTCAAAATCATCATGATACCATAATTCAGCTTCGTATGAAGACTAAGTTTAAACATGACGGCACTTGTTAAATGTGTTAAATAATGAGATACATACTTACTTTTTTTAATTTTATGGCAAACATGCACATGTGTGAATTACATAATGAGCGGAAATATTATAGTAAATCTTGACTTTTGTGACACATAATAATGCTAAGATTTATTAAATTTGCTATCGGATCTAAATTAATGACATGGAAGGAATTTTACTTACCAGTCTTTTAAGAATTTATCACACCGCTGCAATTTGCTCCTCGAATGATTAAAGCTATCAAAGTATTTTTAGAAATTTTGTATCAATGGTGCTTCTCTAGGTTTTGACGGTCACAGCCTTAGATATCTCCACATGTAATCGCCGCGTGGTAGCTGCATGGGACTGTAATGGGTAACTCATAGTTTTGACACAGTTATGAATTGGTCAAATTAATTCTTTTGTAATCGCAAATCGTATAAAAGTAATTAGCTGTGGGAAACGTGAAATGAAGTAGGAATTTCTTTTTTCACGCAGCTATGGTTTTTTTTCCCCTTCCGCTTCAATGGAAGACAATTAGCACAAACGTAAAATTGGCAGCAAAAAGGGAAAGGCTTCACAACCTGATTCCTGAGTTCGGCCACATCCTCTTTGACCCGACGTAAAGTGTGTCGCAGTTCACGAGTCTTTTCGAGCTCTTGCTGCTTTAGGGGTTGTCATTGAATTTCGAGTTGGCCTGTAGTCTCATGCTTGATGTGCTTCATGATACATTAAACTGAAACGGGAAATATTAAATTACGTGGTTTCAGAACGTTATGAAAACAGATCGCTTCACTCCACGGTATCATTTCCTTTGTCACTAGATACACTTCCCTTCCTTTTACCAGAGCATTTAATTTAACTGCTGATATTTCAGCTATATTTCCCTACAAAATATTCGTCTGCCTTGCATATTTCTGAATCACTTATCAAATAATATAATACGGAAATGTAAAACGAATGACAGCAAGCAAGCTCTTTTGTTTCTAGCTCTCTGCAAGGGCGTAACTGTACTGACCAGAACATCTGTTCCTTAACCAACACAATAGCACAGAGTTCAAATTCCACTTTGTCAAAGAATAAAAATTGGAACAGATGCATATAAGCACAGATGACAGCCAAATTTAAAAGAATTTTAGGTGAAATAAGAAATACTTAGAATATGAAGGCTGCATACCAAACGAATAAGAGAAAGCTACAGATGTATTCGGTATTTTTCGAGAATTTCTTACAGCTACGGCAGTGAAAAATAAATATTCTAACCTGAGTAGACTAATAAATTATAGATATAAAAATATAAATTAAAAATAAGTATTATGACTTGTCGATACGAGAATAATCTGCATTTGAATGAATTTGCATTATGTGTATAAAATTCAAACTAAAATCATAAATATTGCAGATATGGTTTGATTATAATAAAAACTGCGGTAAGTCTGTAAAACAAATTTGCTGAAATAAGGCATTATTTAATTTTCGGGATATATTATCAAACTGATTCTATCTGAAAATCTGTTTTCGTCTTTTTCTCCATATGTACGTACAATTTTTTATATTTATCTTTATTTGCATTTATTTGAAACACAGCATAGCACATAAGAATATTTATCTATAGGCAATATTACCTTTTTATGTGTATGTTTTAGTTGTTGCTGTCTTGTCCATATTACAAGGAATAATGTTTGCCAGAGGCTACACCAAAGAGAGGTTGGACTTCTTCTAAAGGGAGGGATGCCTTCGTGGAGGACTTTCTAAGGAAAACTGGCTCGTATACACGTTACACATGGGGAAAACCACGAAAACGCCCATGCAGCCAGCCCGTTCGCGAGATTCGAACCTCGGACCGAACTACCAGTATTCAGCGACGTATGTTTTAGTAAAGTGATCTTGCGAAAGGGCTTTCTAAATACAAGATTGTAAATTTTTATAATGCATGCAGAAAAATCATGCAAATAAGACAATAAGACTAACACGGTTGGTGGGAGGGGGAAACGGTTTCCTTTCTTAACATACCCGTCCATATCGTTGATTCAAATTAGTTCATTTCTGGAAACTTAAATACGCTAAGGCACTCGAAATGGTGATAAGTGAAAGCTGGTTATCCAACTCTCAGACAAGGGTTCAAATGCCATATAAGGTCTTTGTGAATGAAACGTCTTCGCGCAAGTTTGAACTTCGAAATCCATTATCAAGAAAATTTTCTGTAGAGATTGAAAGCAGTTATGTTTTCCCCTTTGCGTAATGTGCGGTATAATGTTTAATTAATGGAATAATCGATAACAGAAGAAAGATTCATATTTCGATTCTCGTTAAAGGCACCGTTGATTTTTTTCCGTCTCCCGCTCCAAAAAACTCTAATACTCTCGGTGGGTGTCCGCCGATAACATCGCGGCAAAAACATCGTGGACGAAAACGTCGCGGAGAAAACAACGCAAGGCGAAAACGTCGTGCTACAAAACATCGTGGGAGAAAACATCGCAAAGAGAAAACATCGCAGTTCTAAAACATCGTGGTACAAAACATCGTAGTAGAAAATAAAGCGGTTCAAAAAATCGCAGTTTAAAAACATCGTCGTCGAAAATATCCTTAGAAATAAAGTACTACAATCATCGCATGACGATAACATCGCAGACATGCTTTTTTCAGGTTTTAATAATTGTAAATGGATATTCCCATAATGATTTGTGAGCGCAAGGTGTAAAGAAGGATAAATTTTACTTTCACATATTTATTAAACTAATAAATTTTGCTGAAAACGTAAGAAGGAAACTTAAGCATAGAAAATTAAATGTAACTTATAGATTATACTTTTCATGAAAATATTACCAGTAAAAAACTTATAAAAATGATTTATTAATGGCCTTTGTTAGTTAACTATGTCGGTTTAAAAGTCTATTAAGTGCTATAAGTTGCATTAAATTTTTTATGCTTAAGTTTCCTTTTTATTTTTCAGCAAAAATTTATTAATTAATAAAAAAAAATATGAAAGTAAAATTTATCCTTCTTTCCATCTTGCGCTCACAAATCATTATGGGAATATCCATATTTACACTTATTAAAGCATGCCTGAAAAAGCATGTCTGCGATGTTATCGTCATACGATTGATTTGTAGATACTTTATTTTTTACCACGATATTTTCAACGACGATGTTTTTAAAACTGCGATGTTTTTGAACCGCTTATTTTTTCGACGACGATGTTTTGTACCACGATGTTTTAGAACTGCGATGTTTTCTCTTTGCGATGTTTTCTCCCACGATGTTTTGTAGCACGACGTTTTCGCCTTGCGTTGTTTTCTCCGCGACATCTTTTAATTTTAAATAAAGTCAATTTTATGATTTACTAAAGTCTTCGGCTTTCCTTTTATTGAACTTCTTGACAAACTTGGGGTATTGTGGCGTGAAACCATTGCCACAGTCTCTTGATACAGTCCAACCTACACTGGTTTCCAAAACTTAAGCAATAAACAAAAAAACTCTCATGGTAATTCAAAAGGTATGCAAGCAAACGCGACGAAACTTGTTGATAATATTTAATACACAAATTGTAAATTAAAACACACACACAAGGTAAAGCTATACAGAATAGTATTTACATTTGCGTAATTAATAGGAATATAAAATTCCCTAAATTTTGACATAATTAAATACAAAATAATTTCTCAATATTATGTATGATCGCTCGGACAGCGGTATAGGCTTGACTGCGAAATTTCTTTTTGTTTATAGTGTTGCCCATGGACTGCATGACAGTAATACCCATTGATCACATAAAGAAGTTCTAGCGCCATCTAGAGCTTGGGAAGGGGATTGGTGTCCATCAATATTCTCCCCAGAGCGCACTATATATGCTCATTGGCTTTAAGTCGGCAATGCTTGTACAGAGGCTGTTCGCACATTTTTTAGACGATTTTGGTAAGCGGTAATAAAAACTCGTTTGCTGCAAAAGAAGTAATTGCCATTGTACTATGTTTTTAAAAGTCAAAATTATTGTCTGTGGCTTGAAAGTTTTGTTTTTATTCAAAATGGTGAATTAACCAAAGCAGTGGTTCGAAGGCTACATTTACGCTCTTTCCGAAGAGACACATGCATACTCCGTTATCCAAAAACGATGTGAGAGAGATGGTTTTGTGATATCTAAAGCGTCGATAGGTGATATCATCAACAAGAAAGGAAAGAAACGTCAAAATGGAGCCTCAAGTGGGACAAAAATTCCAAACAAGTATCCAAGGAAAAAACGGACATCTTCGACTATTGCAAAGGTACCTTGATTAATGTTAAAAGAAAATCCCCCTAGTCAAAGGACAGTTGCAAAATCGTTACAATGTTTGGTGTCCACAGTAAAAAAAATGATAAACATTGATTTAAATCTTAAGAAAGCGAAAAAACGCAATGTGCATCGTCTTCTTCCAAAGCATATCGCTCAACGCAGGACACGTGCAGGAATTCTATATGAGAAAACACTTATCCAAGAAAAATGGAAAACAAATTATCACAATAGATGAAGCCATGGGTGTATTTAAATGATTGTAACAAAAAAAAAAGAGCCATTTATTATCACAAAAGGGGAGAAAGAAAAAATTAAGTACATGGTTTAAAGAACCGAAGAAAGTTTTTCTAAGGGATTTCATGATTGTTTCTGGTTTTTTTATAATGGCAAGTTAAAAAATAAAGAGAGTGCAAAAAAATGTCAAGATTAACTCAAAATTACTATCAGGAACATATTTTATCGCCAATTTTCTGAATGAAATACCATCGCTTTATCCCACAGTGCCATCTATCTGTGAGACTCCATCAGGACAAAAAGCTAGCAATACACATCAAAATCCACTGTAAATTTCCTAAAAGAAATGGAACAAAAAAACTGGTATCAAGGCCATACCCTTCAATGATATCCTACTAAATCTCCCGATGTGTCCCTATGGATTTTTGTGCTTTCGGACTTTTAAAAACTGCATTATCAAACGGTTGTCCCAAACCCTAACAGGACTCTGGAAAGCTGTTCGGGAGGAATGGGATAGAATACCTCTTCTGCCACTTCAAAAGGCATTATTATCTTGGAAATTGCGGTGTCGAAAGATAGTTCAGAATAAAGGATGTCAAATAGAACATTTAAAACACAAGAATTTTATGTAATTTAGTTCTACATCATCTAAAAAATGTGTGAACAGCCTCTGTAGCCATTCCGTTTGGACTATACTTTCTTCTTCAAGAAATTAGTATATGGGGCGAGCAGTGTAAGGTCGGGCATTATGTGCTTGCAAAATGAAGGTGTCGCCAACTGCGGTAGCATATGGACGAGCAGCAGGATCAAATGTGGTCTGTGTAGCTCTAAGCATTGAAAGTTCCTTGTGGCACATCATATAGGTCTGTACCACTTACAAATATTCCTTTCCTTACAAAAACTTAATCCTTTGCATAGGTATCCATTCTTGTATGTTAGACGGAAGATATCGACTACTTGGCTTCTCCCCATGCGTAAACACGTCAAGAATCATTACTCTGTAAAACAAAGCATGACTCATTAGTGAACTGAATAGCCCTCTACTGATTTTCAGTCCAGTTTGCATGACCACGTGCCCAATTCAAATACTCACTCCAGTGACCGGAGGTAAGCGGGATGCACAAAGCCGGTCGCCTGGCATACTGACCTCTTTCATGAAGATTTCTGTGCACTGCAGTCTGTACTTGGATCAGTTGAACTAGTCTCTTCAGCCAGCAGTTCTACCAGCCAGCTTTGCCAATAGTACATATTTCTTGCAGATGTAGTTTTCAATGCCCCATTGTCTAAAAAAAAAAAAAAAACAGAATGGCCGCAGTGGCTAGCATCTT